CAGGCTCATGAGAAATGAGCAGCAGTCATTTGTGTTGTGTGTTTTAAATGATATACATCAAAGCGCAGAGAAGAGTATAAAATCACATCACTGTTTCCATACTTGCTTCATTGACCCCAGGGAGGAGAGGGAGAACAGAGAGAGGGTTTTTTTTGTTTTTGTTTTTAATACATTTTATTGATTTTTTTACAGAGAGGAAGGGAGAGGGATAGAGTCAGAAACATCTGTGAGAGAAACATCAGCTGCCTCCTGAGCACTCCCCACTGGGGATACGCCCGCAACTAAGGCACATGCCCCTGACCAGAACACTACCTGAGACCTCTGTCCACAGGCCAATGTTCTATCCACTGAGCCAAACCAGAGAGGGGGCTTTAAAAAAAATACTAATTATGTTGACATACAAATAATGTATATTGATGCACAGATCTTAAGCATGTTTATAGTTTATACAGTTTTATGAGTTTTGACAAATCTATACACCTGAAGAACCAAAAGTACAGTCATGATACATGGTACTTCCATCAACCCAGAAAGTTCCTTCTTGGACCTTTTTAGTCAATACCGTTTCCCCGAAAATAAGACAGTGTCTTGTATTAATTTTTGCTCCCAAAGATGCACTAGGTCTTATTTTCAGGGGATGTCTTATTTTTCCATGAAGAATACGGTACACATTTATTGTTAAATGAAAATAAAGGAAATTTATTACCTGTATACGGTACGGTAGTACGGTAGTTGTCTACACAAACCAGACAAACTGTGAATCCTACAGTATCCAGAATTTACTTATTTATTCAATGACCATCATGTCATCATCTTCTGGAACATCATCATAACAATCCAATTCCTAAATTTCCTGGTGAATTTCTTGTGACTCCATTTCTTTCAGAATCAGTGGACCAAATCTCTCATGTTTAGCCTAGGGGGGCCTTATTTTCCGGGGGATGCCTTATATTTCACTCAGAAGGAAACCTGTAAGTAGGTCTTATTTTCAGAGGATGTCTTATTTTTGGGGAAACACAGAAACACACATGCACTCACACACACCCTACTCCTATCTTCCTGCATCCCACTCACCCTGTCTATCCCCAACCACTACTCTGATTTCTACCATCACAGTATCACCGTAGTTAGGATTTTTCTGTTCTTGACCTTCATGTAAACAGTATTTGTTTTGTATGTGGTTTCTTTTGCTCAAGTTGTTTTTGACATTCATCCTCTTTGTTATGTGTATCAGTAGTTTGTTCTATTATAGATTAGTATTCCATTGTATGAATAGGACACATTTTATCCACTTCCTTTTGATGGACATTCAATTTGCTGCCAGTTTTTTGTTATTTTGAATAAAGTTGCTATGAACATTCTTTAACAGTGAAGTTTTTTGTCACGTTTTCATATCTTGAGTAAATACCTAAAAGTGAAATTGCTCAGTCATGGGGTAGGCTTATGTTTAACTTTATAGGGTAGTGAAACTTGATTCTCTTTAAAAATTGTAGTAAAATACACATAACACAAAATTTACCATCTTAATCATTTTTAAGGGTACAGTTGATGAGCAAAATTCACCCCTTTCCATTTTTAGAATTGCTTTCATGTTGCAAAACTGAAACTGTACCCATTAAATAACATCCCCCAGCCTCTGGCAACAATCTTCTTTCTGTCTAGGAGCTTCTAAAAAATATTTTTTATTGATTTCAGAAAGAAGACAGAAATATTGATGAGAATCATCGATCAAGCTGCCCCTTGCACATCCCGTATTAGGGATAGAATCTGGGAATGTGCCCTAACCAGAAATCAAACTGTGACCTCCTGGTTCATAGGTCAATGCTAAATCACTGAGCCACACCAGCTGGGCTGTCTATGAATTTTACAGTGTCAAGCTTGACAATGTAGTGGGATCAAACAGAACTTGACTTTTTGAGACTGGTTTATTTCACTTAGCATGATGTCTTCAAGGTTCATCCATTTCCTTTGTAAAGCTGAGTAATATTTTATTGTTTGTATATACCACATTCTATCAATTCATCCATTGCTCCCACCTTTTGGCTATTGTGAATGCTGCTATGCACTGAGAAAAAAAAAAAACCTCTTTGAATCTCTCTTCTCAGAAGTGGAAATGCTGGATCATAGAATTCTATTTTTAATTTTTTGAGGAACTGCCATTCTGTTTTCTACAGTGATTACACCATTTTACATTCCCACCAAAAACACACGTCTTTGTGTGTTTAAAAATTCCGTAACAAAAATGAATCAAGTTTACACTCATTAGGATGGATGAGTGATGGTATCTCCACATCCACGCTGACACTTAATTGTTTTGTGAGTGTGTGTTTTAATATATTCTTACTGATTTCAGAGAGGGAGAGGGAAGGACAGAAACATCAATGATGAGAAAGAATGATTGGCTGCCTCCCGCACGCCCTCCACTGGGGACTGAGCTCACAACTGGGCATGTGACCTTGACTGGACTCATAGCCGGGACCCTTCAGTCCCCAGGCTAACACTCTATCCACTAAGCTAAACCAACGAGGGTGGTTTTTGTTTTCTTAGTATCCATCCTAATGAGTGTAAACTTGATTCATTTTTGTTATGGAATTTTTAAACACACAAAGACAAGAAATGTCTCTATGTACACACCTCAAGTTTTAAAAATTGACATTGGATAGCACATAGAGGACATACTTCTATATGGCTAAGAGAGCAGGAGCAAAGATATATTTAGAACTACCAACTAAGGGTAGATAACTGGTGCTTTTTTCCTTTTTCTTTCTGCTTTTACTTTTATTTATATTTATTTTATGCTGAATTTACTCCTGGGCCAGAAGCTTTTGTTTCTTCTGAGATATCTTTCTTCTGTGCCACCTCCTCTCCCGGTTTAGGAACAGAGCTCATGTATGGGTTAAACTGCCCCCGAGCTCTGTAGGTTCTAGGCCGCACCTTGGGGGGTTTGTTCACCTGAATGTGCTCGATGACCAGAGCGTCTACATCTAAACCCTTAGGTTCAGCATTGCTCTCGGCATTTTTCAGCATGTGCAGCAGAAATTCAGCACTTTTTGGGCCACCGACCCTGCGTCCAGCCCGTTTTGCCTGGGCGCACCTACCAGCGCCACCATTGTAATGACAGAACAGCACACACTGCTTCTTTAAGGTGGGGTCCTTCAGATAGTTGGTGGCTTTTCGAATATGAATGCCCTTGATGGCCTGGGCAGTTTCATGCGTGTTCTTGAAATGACCTTGGAGATTGGAGCCTCTTGATTTGCATGATTTTGTGGGGTTTTCTGGGTCTAGTGAATAGCAAACCATCTTGAGACGTTACCTATGGGCGCTTTGGGGAAGGACTGGTGCTCTTTCTGCCTGTGTTTAAGACAAGGGATAACAGTCAAGCTTACCTGGTAAAGGAGCAGCAGAGAAAGGCCACAATCAATGGGCCATAAAGGAATCCGCACCATTATTTATCCTTCCAACTGTACTTTCCTATTCCCACTGACAACATAACTTTCCTGACTTGCCTTAGTGACTCTTCTGATCCCAGATGCTGTAGGTAGAATTTAATCTGAACGTATTAGTGGGATGGTGGGCTTTCCTACTTACCTGAAAACTTGAGGGAAAAAGCCAAACACAAATGCCAGAACCGAATTCTCCATCAAACCCTTGACCAACATGCCCATGCAAGAAGAAAGAGCAGTGTTCCTTCGAATAGGAAACTCCTGAAATGAATCCTCTAAACAACTGCAAGCATAAGTCAGGTATCCTTAAGCTGGTGCCCTTTTCCCTGCCAGGAATGGAAGGTACTCCTTGTATTAAGCATATTTTCTGTATTCTTGATGCTTTGGCATCTGGGACCTTGTTGAGCCAAGAAAGATTGATAGACCCAGGACTGGCTAATTCCTGATATTACTACTTAATTCCTACTCCCCTTGGAGTGTGCCTTTCATATGCAAACCAATTAATCCAGGGTATATATTGATACTTTGAATCACCTCCTTTAAGGACTTTTGTCTCTTCTCTTTTTTCTTAGTCAATCCAGCTAGGGGTGTGTAAGAAAAACCGACTTTCTCATGGGGGGGGAAAAACCCATATAAATAAAATCAGAAAAAAATTACACATATTTATATCACAGGCAAATGACTAATATCCCTAATATATAAGGAGTTGCTAAAAATTTTAAAAGGTCAACAGCCCAATAGAAAAATGGGCAAAAGATCTGAGTGGACAGTTCACAGAAAAAATATATACAGGATCTTTACACATATAAAAAAAAAAGTTTCAGCTGGTTGGAGCATTATCCTATACACCAAAAGGCTGCGGGTTCGATTTCTAGTCAGGGAACATACCTAGGTTCTGGGTTTGATCCCCAGGCGGGGTGCATACAGAAAGCAACTGATAGGTGTTTCTCACGTTCGTGTTTTTTCCCCCCTCTTTTTCCCTTCCTCTCTCTAAACATATTCTTGGGTGAGAATATAAAAAAATATATTTTGAAAGGAATTATATAAATGGAGAGATATAGCCATGTTGTTAATCAATAGTATTAACTCTTAAGCAGCATTATCTTCTTATGGTACTAAATGCAACTTTTTAATTACTTAATTATTGTTTTAGTCCACTACATAGCTGTCCAGTATTTTTCATACAGGTTCCTTTAGAAATTAAAAAAATATGTATTAAGATTTCTATATCAAGAAGGTAATGACTTAATATTATATAGTGGACTTAGGTTAAGTATACCTCGATTTGAATCCTAGCTTTACTACTTACACTTACTAGGTCAATCTAAATGTTTCCCCAATATTCATATAATAAATATTCGAGCCACATGCCAAGCACTGAGCTACATTCTGGGAATACAATGAGATTTTTAGTCACAAAGAACTTGGTTTCATTCCTTAATTTGTAATTTGTGGATAACAATTATCCAGTGAGTAGTCTAAGAGAGGACAACAGTAAAGGTCAAATGAGACTGTGAAAGGGTTTCCAAGATTGTAAAACACTACACAAAGATTTACTCATTCAAACATTTATTGAAACACCAGGCATTGTGCTAATCACTACAGATATAACACTGAGCAAGGCATGAAGTCCCTGCCCTTATAAAGCTTACAATATAGCAGTGATTAATAACAAGTAACAATTAAGTGTGTTAAGTGTATGGCTGGGGGGAAAAAAAGGGTATTTAGGAAGGATGTAGAAGGGGTACATAGTCTAGTGGGCATCAATGAAGGCTTCCTAGAGGAAGTCGTATATAAAGTGAGACCTGACAGACGAACAGAAATTTACCTTATCTTTAAGAGCAATGGTGAAAGCAGTGGAGAGATATGACCAGATATGCCTTTTGGAACAATCTGGCCGCAGTGTGGAAAGGGATCAAAACCTGAGAAAGGGAGACTAATGAGGAGGTTGTTGCTATCATTTAGGTAGGTTGATGGCCTGAATTAGAAGAGTAGCACTCGAGAATTAAGAAAAATTTAGATGGTGGACTTAACAGAAAGGTTTTTGTGAATGTTATGATGTATGAAGAGGGAAAGTCATGGATAACTCAAGTTTTGGCTTAGGCAAGCCAACTGAATGGGTGGTAGTGGTGGTACCACTTACCAAAAGGAGAAACATGATAGAAGCAGGTTTAGGGGTTTAGGGGCAAGATCAATGACATACTTACTGTGCTGCCCTGAGACAGCAAAATGGACGTAAGTTGGCAATTAGATATATGAGTTAGGAAAGGTTTAGAAAGGAGATATAAACTTGAGAGTCATGTGCATATAGATGATACTTGAAACCATGAAAGGGAATGGGATCAGTTAAGATGATGTAGAACAAGAAAATTTAACTATCCCAAGAACACAGATATTTAAGGGAAAGAAGTACCTGCAAAGAAGACTGAGCAAGCATACCTGGTATCTCCCGAAGTCAAGTAAACATCTACTTCAAGGAGAGTGGTCGATGGTGGTATCAGAGGGTAACAACATTCACAAAAACTTTGTGAGCTTGATTGAGCAGTTTGAGTGGCAATGTGGGACAACAGGAATACAGACAAATCGTTTAAGAAAACTAGTAGGAATGGGAAATATAGAGACGTTAAGTTTCTTTAAAAAATAGTACTTATTTTAACTGTATTCACTGACACAACAGACCAGTAACAACTACTTTATAAAAAAATATTAAAAAAAAAAAAACCTGTCATGCAGTTACAGAATTACTTAACACAGAAAACAGTAAAATACACATTTTTCTTCTACAAACAAGACTAGTTTATAGCAAATGCTCTATTACTCGTGGCCAATTTAAAATCCTTTACTTATATTTCCCCTCCCCACCCACTCAATGACTATATGATGCAAACTAATTTGATTATCACTGTAAGCAAAATATATACTAGAACTTCACAAAATGTACAAGACTTCAATATTTGAGGAACCAGGGTTAGAAAGCAGAAGCAGCTTTCAGGTACTCTAATCATTCTTTCAATAAAGCACTTGCCATTTTCCAAATTATTGGAAAATTACTGGTAGATTTTTTTTGTTTGTTTGGATTTTCACTGTGTTGTTTTAAGCCTATTCCCTGTTTACCAAAATCTCAACTTGACCATTCTTGACAAGCATCTTGTTATAACACTTGCTTTTCTGCCCTCAATGAATTATATGTAACAGAATAGAGTCCTTTATTCTGGTTCAGTATTGATTACATATTTATCAATGCTATTGTGAGCTACTGGAACATGTTGAAGCTTTTATCTTACCAGCCGAACTCAGAATGTTGGAATTAGTCTCCCCTATTAAGTTTGTCCAACTTGTTCTTCTAATTTTGCTTCTATTGGCAATTTCCCATGACCCTCAAAATAAAATAATCTAATTGGGGGGGTCCTACTGGCACTTTGAGAGGAATAATTCCTGTGCCAGGTTGAAATGCCAGCAGAACCCCCCCACCAAATATAATAGGACAACCAAAAAAATCCCCTGTACGTCCCAACATCCTCTGGAAAGAGGGTTTACTGCCTCTGATTGAGAACCACTGACACAAGTTGGTTCTTTTGGCACTATTTTGATTGCTGAGGCACCACTTCCTTTTCAATTTTTAGTTGCATCCTGGTTCCTTGAATTTGCTGACTAAGGACCATAGAATAATGTGTAACAATAGTTAAGACAGGACTCTAGCACACGTTTTCAAATATGGATCTATACACCGGGTCCTGTTTTGAAGTCATTTTACATATTTGGCTTTACTGTACGATTTCCTTTTCACAGTTAACATAAGTTTGAAAATCACTGTTTTAGCACAAAGCAGATGGCTCACTAGAAATATGAAATTCCTAAAATCTGAATAAAGCTGCTTCTTGAGTTAAATATTTCTACTTGTGCACTTTCTTAAATACTGAATGTGGGGCAGCTTCAAAATCTCTAATAAATGCACTTCTATCAGCTAACAAAATCTGGTATATCACTATAAAGTAAAAAGTTTCCTTTAAGCAGGATTTCTTTATAAAGCAGTAACACCCATGCAGATAGGACAAAGAAGCTAAAGAATCTCACACCTCCTGATCCTGGAGTGCAAAAATATTTTTGCTTCATCCTTCTTGACAGGGCCAAACATTTGTCTACAATAGAAAAAAAGCATTACTAATAGGTAATCATTAAGATTCTATACTTACCATAGTCCTTTAATAGGTGAGCTAGTAAATAAAACAGCACCTAATTGTGAGAGATTCAGGGGAAACCTCCAATAATTGGTTAGTCTGACCTCCAAATTTCAGGAAGCCTTCTAATCAGCAATTTAAAAATAATTCTTGCTCCTAAAATTTTATTTGATTATTTCCTCTATTAGGAATATCAACCATTATTACTGTAGTGTTTAGGGAAGAGGTGAGAGGTGAGAGGGAGGAAATCTGCTAATATTTACCCCTGACTCACAATGTTTTTTAAAAGTTTCAAACATTTTGATAGACAAGTATCTCCACTAAATGTATGTTCTTCCTTTTCAGAAACTTCTGAACTTGCTATGTGAATTTCTGCAAATTGGCTCAAACATACAATGAAGGAGATGATAATTTTAGACTATATGCATCAGAATTTTAACATTTCGTTAAAATATGACCTAACATTTCTTCAAAACAGACTCCTAAGTCAACTCACATCATCAGTACTAAACTGCTTTAAAAACAATTATGTCATAAAAGCAAAAGACAATGACGACTTTGACATTAAGTTTGAAAAGAGGTGTTTGCATGTTCTAGTCCCATGCTGCCTCTTGAGATGAGAAAAAAAAAAGTCAGAAGAATCTCAATTGTTAACAACTTAAATGAATAAACTTGGTGCTTTCTCACACTCTAAAGGAGTCAACTTGAAAAATCAAATTTTTGCTGTTAGGACTGGATTCTCGTGGAGTATTTCAATATTGTCCCACAAAAGCTTACGGATTAGGTGGATTTCTTACTCTCACAAGAGCATCCCAATGTGGCTCCATTTCGGTTGTGGCGATCCGAAACAGGGCGTGGAGATGCTCGTCTGTTAACGGCTGGCTCAGAGTGTGCTGGTTTCTAACCAGATATGAAAAGGCCTTTTCACAGATTTCACTGCTATCAAACAGGGATGCCACCTTATAGGCAACCCCTTTGATAATTGGGTAGGTTTCAGCACACAATCCAGCATAGAACTGCCCCAGGTCTTTGTTTCTGTATTCCTCCCAAAGGTCAGAATTCGCTTGAAGTTTTGTCAGCTCCATCCTTACTGCAATAGGTGCATGCTCAGCTTTAAAGTTAAACGGATTTGCAAACAGTTCCAAGTCCTTTTTAATGAACTTGAGGTCCTTGAAATGTCTATCAAATTCTTTCTGCAGGCGACTGATCACCACTTTATACCTACCCGGATCAAGTATTTTTTCTTCTTCTTTGATATGCTGTTTAAGCTCATCAACGACTTCTCTCAAGGCAGCAAAGTGGGTTAGGTTTTTTTCCTCAAGATGTCTGTGCAGTAAATTCAGCTTAGCGTCAAAGCTACAAATGTGGTCAAATGCAGTAGCAGCGAAGACTCTGTTGAATCGCAGCAGCTCACTGAGATCTCGGAGGTGGTTCATCACGTCCACCAAGAAGCCGAAATCACAAAGCCACTCGGGGTCTGTGAAATGGACTGTCGTTGCCCCTACCGAAGCCAAGAATGCCTCTATCTCTTTCCTTAATGAAAAGATGAGTTTTAAAGTCTTCCCTCTTCTTAGCCAGTTGTTCAGACACCGTCCGTTAACCCTTTCGCCATGCTCTGATTCAGATGAAGTCAGCAGAGCCTGAAATTCGGGCCGCCTGATGCCTCTTGTCTTAATCAGAAGTATCCAGTCCGATACGGTACTTATGACCTGATTGACATCTACATCGTAGGAACTCAACAGTTCCAAGTGAAGGAATCCCGAGTAATGGATGACATTCCAACAGTTGGGGCTCACGGCCTTCTCTCTCATGTACGACACCAGTCCAGAGTTCTCACCAATCATCCTCAGGGTGTGCGTGGTGGTTAGGCCCACCATCCGCTGCAAGCTAAGCCCCGCCGTCTGCAGGGCCTCCAGGATCGCCGCCATGAGAGCGCCCACACTGAAGTGATTGGTCAGGTTGATGATGGTCAGGAGCTCTTCTTGCACCTCCAAGTCCACGTCCACGCCGCGGACGAAAACCAGGAGGTAGTTCTCATAGGCCACGAAAGCCTGGTCATCCAAGGCAAGGGAATAGGCCCTAAAGTCCTTGGCTCGGTTAAAAAGCTGACCGCGTAGGTTTTCGTTCATGTTCAGGACCCTCTGCCGGATGGTCTCTGAAGAGAGATCAATGCCACCCAAAACGCCTACGTGATCCGGCAGCACGTCATTCAGCACCACCTCCAGGCACTGGTACACAAAGTCCCCCTCGCCCTCGCCGCGACCCCTCAAGGCCAGGAGGCGGGCGATGCCGAGGCCCGCACGCGCCGCTCGCTCCTCGGGAGTGGGCGGGACGACCTCGGGGATGTCGCCCTGCCGCAGGCGCTCCACCAGGGCCTCGCGCTCGCCCTCCTCCACATACCGCTGGTAGTACCTGTGCTCGGCCTCGTAGTGGCGCCTGACGTCGCGTTCGCAAGCGGATTCGACGAGGTGGGCGCAGAGCAGGCAGCGGGCCCCTTCGCCCTCCGGGGGCTCCACCACCAGATAACGTCGGGTCCACTCGGGCCGGAACCCCTGAGCCTCCTCGACTTCCATCTTGCTTCTCTTAGGTGTCATCCACATGATTGCGGAGGCTTTAGAAGAGCGGAGCGGATCTCCTGGAGGCTGCAAGAGAGACAGGCGGAGTGGGAGCTAGCGCCGAACGCCACCTACGCTCTGCGCAAGATCACCCGAGCCGCGCGACGCCGAGCTCCCGCTAGGGCATCTGCGCTCCGATTGGCCGAAAGAGCGGACCGTGATTTCGGCCGCGCACGCGCAAATCCTTCTAGCAACGCGGCGGAAGCTGCCTTGGGGAGGGACCAAGAGGCTCGGGAACCCACGGACCTAAGACACTTGACTGACATGCAAGCTGCCCAATCAACAGCTCCCTCACTCGGAAACGGCGCAGCCGCAGGAAAGGGTGTGTGTGTGGGGGGGGGGGGGAGGGCTGGGCCGCGTACACAGACGGAAGAAAACAGCGTCAGCACCGAGAACTGTCGTGATTGGCTGACGGCACGTCCAGCGAGACTCTCGACGTGGCCTGGGCTCCTAGTGGCGCCAAAATGTCGCTCGCCGCAGGCGTTATTCGGCGGCTGGACGAGACGGTGGTGAACCGCATCGCGGCAGGGGAAGTTATCCAGCGGCCGGCTAATGCCATCAAGGAGATGATCGAGAACTGGTACGCAGGGTGTCGGAGGCGGGCTTCCTTAGAAGCTACAACATAACGGGCCGCGCCAGGAATGGCGCGGACACGCCTCCCTGCCCTGCGCGGAGGCGTGTACGGCGCATGCCCAGAGTGGCGGAGGATTTGGGGGGTCCTGCCTTCTCGCGCCCCTCGCGCTGTCGCGAGATTTTTCTAGGCTTACAGGGGCCGTATGCCACGTATCATTTTAATGGTGGCCATTAACTAAAGGAATTGCCTGTAAAATCATATATGCAAAAGATGCAGATAAATCTTTGGTGGAGGAAAAACATCTCCCTTCATCTTTATCAGTTCCATGCTTAGTCCAAAAAAATCATGCACGTTCAAGAGTACAAATTTTGAGTTTTATTATAAAATAGTCAAGATTTTAGGACAGGCTGATGATCTTCCTCCTATGGGTTTAACTTGTGACTTTCCTATTGCCAAATTAATGATCCCACTTTGTGCTCTCCTGCCCTTTTATGGGGTATTCCGTGGATTCTGAAGTTTGGAAAAATGCCAACCAGAGTGGAGGGAAAAGGTTAAAAACATGGGAAGAAAGATGGTGTAAACGGTAAACCTCAAAAAAGACACGTTCCTAACATTGTGTAAGATCCTTTGTGTTCAAGTCAATTGTTATTAATAAAATCCATATCTTAAAAGAAAATTTTAAAAAATGCTCCACGAAGAAGGCCACTTTTGTAAAGGGATTTGTTGTGAAAACATAAACTGCCCGGGATAGCGGGACTGAAAGGACAGTGGCTCAGAAAGGACTGCTGGCCAGGGCATGCGGAGAATTAGAAGGAACAGGGATCCCAGGCAGGGCTTCTCCTTTTGACTTGATCTAATTTATAAAGGCTGGCTTGTGTCTACAGTGTTAGAATGAACACTGAACATGCTGGGCCTATTGTACAGTCCCAGACAGAATCCTGTATAACAAAACTAAACATTAGCGCAGTAGCTTATCATTAATTCCATAAGCAGAGGCTTTTTATGGATCTAGTTATGCTCCCTTTTTTTATAGTCTGAATTTTTACATGTCTCCTTCCCCCACTCCCCCAGTCCAGCCATTCCCATCCCAGGCAAGGTCCCCCTACAACCCTCCAAAGGTGTTGTGTCCATTGGTTATGCTAATATGCATGCATACAAGTCTTTTGGTTGCTCTCTAACCACCCCCTCCCTTGCCATTTGTCTCAAGATCTATTCTTGTTCATCAAATTATGTTGATCATTATATCCCACATATGAGTGAGATCATGTGATACTTATTTTTCTCTGACTGGCTATTTTGCTTTGCATAATGCTCTTTAGTTCCATCCATGCTGTTGCAAATGGTAAAAGTTCCTTTGTTTTTATACTGGTGTCATATTCCATTGTGTAGATGTACCACAGTTTTTTTCAATCCACTCCTCTGCTGATGGGCACTTAGGCTGTTTCCAAATCTTAGCTATGGTAAATTGTGCTGCTATGAGCATACAGTTATGCTCCTTTTAATATGTAAGTCAAGATGGCTAAACAACTTGAACTCAGGGGCTCCTGAGAAAGGTCTTTAAGTAACTTATTGTCTTATTTCTAAAATAAGGAATTTTCTGTGTGAGGAGTCCATAATTTATCTTTCTCTCGCAGCACCAGCCTGAATCTGTTTTCTTTAGCAGGTGCTCTGTGCTCGTAGGCTGTTCTCTGAAGGTACAGAATATTTATAAGCTTCTTTAAGAACTTTCTGCATTACCATATTTTCTTCCCCCAATATGTATTTTCTGAAAGAAAAGGGAAGAGTGGAGGAAAACATTTAGAATGCTTAACGAGCCGAAACCGGTTTGACTTAGTGATAGAATGCTTAATGACATTTTAATAGAGTCATTTAGGAACCTGAGGCTCAATCATGTTCTAGTAACAGATGGTTGAATTAATAGAGAAGTAAGAAAAATGCAGGAGCTGAAAGGACCTACTTCTAACGGCACTTTCCTAGAAGAACAGAAATGATGGTGACCATCCAATTGGAGATGATGGTTAGCCCCTTCTGCCCCTCCCCTTTTCTCTAAACATAACAGTGTAGTCACAGAGCCTGTAAAACAAAGGAAAAACATTAATCAGACAATCTTATATTTTTTTGGAATTTGTTTTTACCCCTTAGCTTATATGAAAATGTGTGCATTAAGGTAGTTACAGACTGATATTTCTTTTTCTGATGGATTTGCCAGTTTAGATGCCAAATGCACAAGTATTCAAGTGGTTGTGAAAGAGGGAGGCCTGAAGTTGATTCAGATCCAAGACAATGGCACCGGCATCAGGGTAAGGAGAACCTCAGAGGAGCAGGTGCTTGTGTGCTCTGTGCGGTATCTGCAGGAAGTGGCAGAACCTTTCCCTGTTCTAGAGACTGGGCTTTTGTGGATGGGATTGTTTGACAGAAAAAACTCAACAGCAACAATAATTGTTTATTGGGTTCCTATTCCATACTGGGCCCTGTGCAGGGGAATGAGGAGGTCAAAGGAGTGAGTGATGAAGCCATGAAAGGATGAGTGTTCTGGGCAAGGAGAACAATACCTGCAAAAACCAGGAAGTGGAAGCATGCCTGACATGTTTAAGGATCAGCAAGGAGGCCAGTGTGACCGGAATAGGAGATGAGATCTGAAAGATAAGCAGACTGATCACGTCCAGCCTTTGGGCCATTGTGAAATTTTTAGCTTTTACTCTGACTCAGGTGGGATTCTAGTAGAGGGTTTTGAGCAAAGTGAGTTTTGTAAGAACCCTTTGTCAATTTTTTGCTACAATTAAATGTATCTGTAAAATATGTCTAGATTTTTACTGAAGAAGTGTAAAGGGCCCCTTGGGAATGCACATGGATGAACTTTAATTATCATCAGCTGAACTCAAGGCGTAGGCAGAGCCATGCCCTGGGTACATGTTTCCTCAAAATGTGGGAGACTTGACTTTACCCAGGTCTTGATATGCTAAATCCCAGGAATGAGGGAATGAATAGGACCTGGGCACACCCAAAACTCCTTTGACCTTAAACCCCGCCTTTGGAAATAAATAAATGTGCGGTGTTGTCTGTGGTGGGTGTTAACTGTCTCTCCATCAGAGTGGCAGCCCCCCACCTGAGTCCCAGCTTAAATCTATTTCTGTGTCTTGGTCTCTCTCTCTCTCTCTTTTTTTTCCCCTTTAATTTCTTAATCCCCAGCTCCTCCACTCAGGAACCTGTGTTTTCCATGTGCGTCTCGGAAAACAGAGATACAGCCCTCCCACTCCCCCGTGGCAAAGAAGGTTTATAAAAACTGGTAATTTTTATAAAACCCATGAGACAGGATAAGACTGTCAAGATGTGTGTAGGTAGAGAAGAGGGCCAAGGGTGGTATCTGGGGTTACTCCACTGTCAGGGAGTAACAGAACCAGCCAGTGAGAGAAATGAGAGCAGCGAGAAGGAAGGGGCACCAGGCCAGTGGTCTGGGTGCCACGTGAGCGAGTTCCTGCTAATTTAGAAACTCTCCTCCTCGGAGGATTATCTTCTTGAATTCACTCAAGAAGAGGGAGATTCAAAAGGATTTGGGGGGAAAAATGAGTAATATAATAATTTACTTATTTTTTGGTGTCTTCTAGAAAGAAGATCTAGATATTGTATGTGAGAGGTTCACTACAAGTAAACTTCAGTCCTTTGAGGATTTAGCTAATATTTCTACCTATGGCTTTCGCGGTGAGGTAAGCTAAGGGTTCATAAATGTGTAAGTATCCGCCTGTGATGACATTTCTACCATTTGTCAGCATGTTTCTCAGTAGGTAAACAAGATGTGATACTTTTTACTTGTTAGAGAGAAGTAAGTCTAAACAAACATAAATTCCATTTGCCAGAACTGAGACTTGTTTATAAATACTTAATATACCATAAACTTAATCTATAGAGAGCCCTATGACATTATATAGATATTGCTTGATGGAAGAATGAAATACCATCTACAAAGGCTTCCTGTCCAAAAATAAAATGGGACTCTGATCAGTAGTTAAATTTAAGTACCAATACACAGAAAATACAGGGGCAAGGGAGCACAGTACATGATACTGAGATAGGGAAACTGCATGATAAAAGGCTGGTTTCCTTCAACAAATAAAGTGCAAAGAAAAGAAAAGTAGAGAAGAGACAGGAACCTGTAGATGACAAGAGATTTCAGTGCCTGTGAACCATCTCCAAAGTACAGCTCTCCCTTGGATTCTGATTTGAGCAAAGTGTAAAATTTTTTTGAGACACAGATATTTGAACACAGATTGGTTATTTGATAGTATTAAGACATTGTTAATTTTATTGATTTTAAAATAGCATCATGGTTATTTTGAGTTTTTATTCTTTAAGATATATACTGAAATCTATGTGGATGAAATTATATGTCTCATTGGCTCACTCCCTGGTTGGGGCCCACAACAAATCGATTTGTCTCTCTCACATTGACATTTCTCTGCCTCTCTCTCAAAATTAATGGAAAAATACCTTCAGGTGAGGATTAACGAAAAAAGAAAAAGAAGATACATATTTCAAAGGGCTAGGAAACCAATGTTGATTATAAAGGGGGGGAAATGGTCATTTTTAAT